GGAATTGGCCAGAGCTCTGGATCAGACTGTACTAAGATGGAAACAAAATGATGCTTTCTCCTACACTACTATACATATAGGAACATAAAATGGTCCTGTTGGATCAGACTGTCAGACTCGCTGTCTTGCCTCACAGTGCTGAAGGGTGGTTGCCTAGGGAAGGCTATACATATGCATATATATGTATATATATATATACATATACATACACAAAATACATTCCCAGGCTCCAGCACTTTGTAGTTCAGGAACTTTCTACCTAAAGATGGGGATCTTTGCATTTCCTAACTCCTGCTGGGTTTCCTTTCCATGAACCCTTTCTATCTCCCTACAAGCTTCCATCTTCCTGAAGCAAGGAAATGCCTAGAGCATCTCCACCACCAAGTAAGGCACCTCCACCTCCTCTGGTCTGCTTTGAGCCTGTAGCATGGCAGCTTTGTTAGCTGTCCATTGTCTAGACTAGTAGAACACTTAGATAGGTGTAGGTATCAGTTCCCCCACATACAATATTGTTTTCTCCATTTGAGTATCATTCGCTTTGCTGAAGGAAGTCCAAGCATGGCTCTGCTGTTAGCTTTGACTCCATGGTCTTGGAGCTGCGTGTTTCAGGATCACTGTTTGTGGTGGTCCTGAAGTGGTAGGACAAGGTGTGGGTTCTGCCACCCTCCAAACCAGCCTGGGAGGTAAATGGCACAACTCAACCCCACTATTCATTTTAATTAGATATAAAATCAGCACCACTTGAAGGGTCCAAGGGCAAATTAACCATCAATCCTGACCTGATTTGCCACTGCTTATTGCAAACATGGGCCGGCCGCATGGCGAGAACTGTGCTTTGTCAATAAATCCCAGACACAATGGATTGTAGAAAAGGGAAAATGATCCAAGGGGTCCGGGCAGATGGGGGAGATGCTTCCTCTCTCCTACAGCAGCCAATTGCCTGGATCAGGCCTAGGATGTTTAATTCACAAACGTGCTCCTTTTACGTGTCCCCAGGCAGTCTCATAGACACCACCTGAAGTATATTAGAGCCTGGCTGATTATGGGTCTGCTCCAAAGCCCTCTGAAGTCAGTGGGAGTCTTTCCCCTGACTTCACCATGTTTGGGGCAGGCCCTGGATGAACATCCCTCGGGTTAGACAGTTTAATCATCCATTCAGCAGTACACAAAGCAGATCACATACACTTTTAGCCTGCATTGTATGGAGTTATGAAACGAGAAGATTATTTGATATGATTCAGAGATAGCTCAGGTATAAGGTAAAAAAAAAAAAAAAGAGAGAGAAATAACACCTTTGATGTTTTACATTACACTTCAGTTATTCCTTGAGGGGCAAATTCTCGTCACCTTACCCAGGTGAATATTGCGCTCAGTAATTTGGTCAAAAACATTCCACCAACCTCCTTTTTAATAGGAAATGTTGGGGGGTTCAGTTTGATAGGTAAATCCATGTTTTCCTTCAACAATCCAAGAAAAAAAAATAACATTGGGAACAAGGAACTGATTTGGAAGGATTTTCTAACAGGGCAGTAAAACTAATTGGGTTTTGGGGGAGTTTGGGGTGTTTTTTTTTGCCAAAGCCTAAGGAGAAACATGAATTTCCCACCAATTGCATCCTCTGTCTGGCACAGCTATTTCTAGTTGAGGCATCAGCCATCCATGTACCATCAGCCAGGACCGATCCTCAACTTGCTTCTCTTGGGTCAAGCTGAAAAGCAAGGCTTTGTCCCTCTTATTTTATGTGCTCTCAGAATGAGACTGAGAGAACCACCTTCCATGGACAAGCAGGGCTGAGTTTAGGTACAGCACATTCAGAGTCAGGTTTGATCTGTGGGGCCTTCTTGACAAGTCTGATGAAGATGTTCCAGGGTTGGAACTAGATGATGTTAAGGTCCTTTCCAACCCAACCCATTCTATGATTCTATTCCTAGAAATACAGAGAATGCAAGGGCAGGATATCTGTAGTTTCCTTGAACACTACTGCATCATTTGAACTATTCCTAAAGATTCTAGGGAAAAATCCCCCTCAGTCAGCATAAAAAAGGCAATAAAACCTTCCATAGATGCACGATGTACTGTGGCCAACTTTCATGGACTCTGTGAGTGAGAGGGCAAACCAAAACCCTCCTCCACCAGAGGAGATGCAAAGCACGGTCCATGGCCAGTGGCAGTAACTGAAGCCCTGTTTCCAAAGGAGTTGGCGGGCGATGAAACCCAGCGCGGATGCTGCGTTCTTGCCTCTTGAATCCCCTCCCACCGCCCCGAAATACACTCTGGTGTTGCTGGGGGTGGGGGGTTTAACTTCACTGGCACAAGAGTTGCCTTTGTTGATGGGAGCTGGGTCTCCTTTAGGGGACTGGGCTGATCCAGCTGTACTGGCAAAGCCTTTGTACTGTGGAGTAGCTCAAGTGCAGACCTGCAGTGGGTGCCTGCCTGAACCTTTGCTGGCATGTCGATAAGGCCAGCGCTGAGCAAAGTTAAACGACCCCGTGCTGGAGAAGTGCCACACGTAGAAGCCAGCAAGTATCTGTGTTACTGATCCAACGCTTCTCTTGAAGTGCCTTTGGACTGTTCTTTCTGAACAGGGACTGCCTTTTTTAGTAGTTGTGAGTGCTGGAAGAGCCATAGTCCCTGGCTGGGAGTATCAGAGGGTACAGGTAGCTCCGGGCAGAGGTACCACACAGTTGTGCTTGCAGTCATCATCATGACCACAGTTTTACATCGAGGCCTTCTGCATTGCATCTGTTTTGTCCAGTTGAAGTGGCATCTTTCTAGATGCCAAGTGGAGAAACCAAGCACAGATAAGACTCCCTGGGATACTTGGCTTTAACATCCAGTGGTTGGGATCTATGGGCTCCCATGAAATCACTGCTCCCTCAAAAGAAGTTATTTTACAGGGTGGCTCCTATGGCTGCCAGAGCAGAGAGGATGGAGGCCTGAAGTTTAAGCCTTAAGGACATCTCTCCACTGACTTTCCTGGATATGCCGTGGGCTGCTGGGCTATCATGAGGCTGGGAAGAGGCTCATTGTCATGGAGAACTGCCCATCACAGGCATGGCCTTGGCATTTAGAGCAGAGTGGGAACTCTCAGGGTGGGACCAGCAGGCTAATTGCTTTTGTCTTCCCCCTCCTTCAATGGGGGAATCACAGTAAATCCCCAAAGCCCATGACAATAGCCCTGCTGCTTTTAAGTGCTATTTAAACTCTATCCTCTAGCCCTCCCTCTCCCAAGATCTGCTAAAAAAAAGAGTCTCTTTTAATGACAAAAGGACGCCTAAAAGGCTGCCATTAGCTCATTCACTTGGCTCCTCTCTGCAGACTAGGTGTCTATTTGCTGAAATCTACTCTCAAGTGTCCCTTGGGCAGGTCGATTTATCATGAACACACCAACTTTTCGGTGGTATGTCCGCAGGAGGGGCCACATCTCCTGGTTCCAGCTCAGGGAGCACTTTCCCTGGAGGGAGCAGGGTTTGGGTCTAGCAGCAGAAAGGTGCACTGGGGACAGATAAACCTGCCAAAACCTCCCTAGACCCCGCTACCATCCCTTAGGACTGGGACTGGAGTACTGTGGTGGGTGAATCCTTCCCTGGCTCTGCTCTGGCAGGTTCTGCCTATGCCATCACCCAGCTGGTGTGCAAAAGGTCTATTGATGTGTGGGGTACTGGCTGAGGATACTTTGCCACTGGTTTGGGATCCTCAAGAGCAAACGTTTATGGGCACTGTCTGCAGAAGCATACAGCTGATGGAAGTGGCAGAGGGCAAATGTTGAAGCAAATCTGAGTGGAAGAGCATGAGCTGGACACTTGCAAGTGTCCCACACTGGCCTACTGCTTGTTAAGGTCTGGCTGGTGGAGCAGAGAAGGGGTGCAATGGTCACTTAGGTGTGTGAGTAAGCAGTTCCTGCCTTACTTAAGGGCCTTCTTTGGAAGGTGTTTGGAAACCCTCCACTGCTTGTAGATCAAACTCTGAATTCCAGATCAAGCTATCCCACTCTGCAACTAAACTCAAGCAGGAGACTGACCCTCTTGTCTTTTTGCTGGTGGCAGTCTGCCTTTTACCTCCCATTACCACTGCATCACCTGAGACACAATTAAAAACCAAGACATGGAGGAATTACCCCCAAAGCCAGGAAGATGCTATCTGTGCTGTGAAGGGGTGAACGAGGGGGATGAAGCAGGAATTGCCACCCACCCACCCGTCTCAGCTATTGCACAAATGGCGGTTGGCCAGTGCTGGGGCAAGTAATTGGTCCCAATCCCAAGCACATGGAAGTCATCTGATGTTTCATCATGGCTTCATTACATTTTGGATCAGGGCAGTGCTTTGTCTTGCATCACCACCCTGTGTGTTATGCAGGTAGCCAGGGAAGAGGCTCTGCCAACAAGTTTGTTTTCTGAATAGCCTGCAGGGATGGCCTTACATCATGGCAGATGCATATATGTTAAATAGCTGCAATTTCATGCTTAAGTTCATTACTGGTGCTACATTCCTCATGGAGACATTTATATTTATGCTCTACCCACACACAGCAGCCAACAAACAGCTTTATACAAACAGCAAGAATTGGGAATTGATAGTGGCTGCTCTAGGATGGATTCTCCTTTCCCAGCAGCATGAATCAGGGAGGATGCTCAGCAGATGCTCCTCTATCTGATGGGGATAACTTCTCAACTAGATTCCTATTTAAGCATATGCAATCCTATTGGAAAACCTGATTTGCAAAATGGATCAAGCCAACAGCCAAGCTCATGATACCTGCTGCTAGCCAGCGCCATGCTGGAACCAACCCTGCTTCTCTTAGTTTTGTAGGCTTTTATTGTTTTGTTGGTTTATTTTTTTTACTAAACCCGGATGAAAAAGGACAGTTTTCATTCAAACCATTGACAAGAAACAAAGATTAAAAGGCCCAGAATGCCCACTCTGCACTGTGAGACTATGGGAGGCTGTGAGTTCAGATGTGCCTTTGGGCACAGATCAGTTTTGTTCATAAATCTCTGCACCTTTTATCCAAACCACGTGAAAGCAAAACCTGTCTCCCACAGAGCTGTAAAATACCTGAAACATACTGAGGAACAACCAGGCACAAAAAAACCCCTAACAACTGTTAACGTTTTATTCCCAAACAGCTTGTTCAGCCTGAAAAGGTTCAGTAATACACTAAGGAACAAGAACAAAACCGACCAAAACAATGCAAAACAAATAAAACAACAACGTAAAAAGAAAGGGAGGGAGGGAAAGGAAGTAAAATAAACTTTAACAAAGTGTAAAACACGTTATAAATAAAGTACAGCTCCGGAGCATAATTTACAAATATAAAACCACATAGAAACATATGTACAGAAGAGTTACATTACGTACAAATATGTATAAAAATACCCCAGTGTTTATCCTCGTGCTAAGGCTGCATGGCTACAGTGATCTTTGGTACTAAGCTCAGGGAAAAGGATGACAAGACACAGCCCTGGCTGTACAATATGCCACGCACAGGAAGACCAGAGTGAACCTCCGAGGTCTGGGGTGGATGTTTCCCCCTTGTGCATTGCATATTGCAGGATCAGGGCACAGAGCAAGGGCTTACAGAGGCAACTGCTGGCGGAAGAGGTTTTTAACACATTGTACAAGGCACTTCATAAGAAATCTCTTCATTTTCCTTTCTCCTGCTCTCTTCTAAGGCTGGGTGTCACTTGGGTCTTGCTGATACCGCTTTATGGTTATAGTTTTTAAACTTCTTGGTCTACATTCAGGATTAGAAACCTCTGAAAACATCAGAGTTCGCTTTCACCTGCAGAATGTCGACTGCAAGCCATCTATACCACCTAATGTTTTCCAGGATGGGGGAAAAAGACTGCACCTGCCTTCCTCCAGTGTTTAAGGGCTGTCCTTATCTTGAAAGGTGAGATTTGTCTTATTGGAAGAACTCCTGGGAAGCGTCCACATTGAAATGCTGTTTGCAAAAGCATACGGTCCTCCATGCTGCAACTCCCATTCCCTTCGCAGCGTTGACCCCAGCGTCCTACACCTCTGTGCCATCCCGGGTGTAGATGAGGCTGTTCACGGTGAAGTTGTAGTAGTGGTTGTACTGGGCTCCCTGGCTGCTGCTGCTGGGATGGAAGGAGCTGTAGTAGGCAGGGGAAGGTCCCGCGACCCGCTGTAGCTGGTCTGGTGAAGGCACCTCTTGAGAAGAGCTGCTGGAAGGGGTGAAAGTGCCACTGCTCAGCTGTCCAGCAGAGAAGTTCCTGTGATGCAGGTCACTGCCCAGAGCCCCTGTCAGCCGGCTGCCTCCGCTGCTCAGGGAGCTCATGCCACTGAAGAAGGTGCTGAGGCAGCTTGGGGTGGATGAAATGATACCGGAGGGAGAGGAGCTTTTGGGATGGTCCCTGGCAGAAGGCGAGGGCTCCAGCTCAGGGGGGGGGCTGTTTCCACATGGTTTGCCTGCACTGGGGATGGGTCGCTCTTCTTCAGCCTTCAGGCTCCCCAGAGAGGATGCTGCAGATGCGGTCGCAGGGGCATTGGGCTCAGAGCGCCGCTTGCGCTTGCGGCGGAAGTTCCCGTTGTCAAACATCTTCTCGCAGTTGGGGTCTAAGGTCCAGTAGTTTCCTTTCCCTGGTGGAAAACAGGAGAAACAGGAGAGAAAGTCAGCTTCTGTGGCAGTGACACCTCAGACAGATAAGCAACATCCACGTCTTGTCCCATTGGCACAGAACCCACATCTCTGCTACACCACATCCTGCTCTGTCTGCTGTCCATAGGATCCAAACCATGCCTCCAGAACATCATCACATCCACCCCTCCAACGCCTGAGTGAACCCTAAGGCCACATAGAGGAGAACATCCCCATCACACAGCATAAACCTCCCTGGAGGATCTGTACCCCTACCCTAGACCTGGCCAAATAGAATATGAAGCAGGGCTCCCTGTGCTCCTTGCATGCTCTTCACAACAAGCTTGGATGCTTGCAGCTGTGTCACCAGTGGGTGACAAGGTGGTGCCCTCACCATGGCTCTTCTCATAAAGGCTGATGGAACATCTGGCTGGCACATCAAGGCACACTGAGGGGACAACAGGACTGGGCTGTGGGGGTGCAGACAAGCTGCCCCACACCCGGGCTTACTACAAGGGGAGGTTTTATCTGTCCCCACACGCCTCTCTCCCATGCCTGGGCCTGACTGGAGCAGTGACCCTGTAACGTCCCCTCCCCGCCTGGCCGAGCCAGGGCTGTCCGGGCGGGCCCCTCCGCTGTGCCCCGGGGCCGGCAGGGAGCGGAGCCGTGAATCACGGCCGAAGGAGCCGGCCCTTGCACAACCGGCACTGCCGGGGAGGGGGTGAGCGCTGGGGCCAGCCGCCCCTCGATGGGGCCGGCGCCTGGACAGAGCGGGGCGGAGAGAAGCGGCTCTCCCCACCGCGCCCGTCTGGAGGGGACAGCGACCCCCGGTGCGCTCACAGTGCCAGCCCCAATGGGGACCGCCTCCTCACAGCACCCGGCTGGAGAGGACACGGGACCCGTCGGACAAGGGTTCGCTCCCGTAACGGTGATGCCAGTTTGTGCCCGCCGCTCCCCGCACCCCTTCAGCCCAGCCTCCCGCCCTGCTCGGTCGCCTCACCGGGGTCATCCTCATCGCGGGGCACCTTGCGGAAGCAGTCGTTGAGGCTGAGGTTGTGGCGGATGCTGTTCTGCCATCCCGCTTTGCTGCGCTTGTAGAAGGGGAAGTTCTCGGCCACGTACTGGTAGATGTGGCTGAGGGTGAGCTTCCTCTCGGGCGCGCTCTGGATGGCCATGGCGATCAGCGCCGAGTACGAGTAAGGCGGCCGCACCAGCTTCAGCAGCTCCTCCTGGCTGGCCAGGCTCAGCCAGCTCAGCTCCGCGCCGCCCGCCGACGGCGACCCTGGCGCCGGGGGGGACCCCACCAACTGCCCGCCCCGGGAGCAGCCGTACGAAGCCGGCGGCAGGAAGGGAGCGGCGGCGGCGGCGGCGGCGGAGCCGGGCGGGCCCTGCAGGTAGGGCGCGGGGCTGTTCATGCCCCATAGGTAGCCGGCGTTAGCGGGCGCCCCGTAGTCCCCCAGCGCGTACCCGCCCGCCCGCTGCCCCGAAGAGGCGGCTGCGGCGGCAGCGGCGGCGGCGGCCGCTGCGGCGGCTGCTGCAGCACCGGGCGGATGGAGGCTGGGCTGGGGGTAGACGCTGAAGTTCTCGCTGCAATAAACCGCCATGTCGGGGGCTTCCTGGGCGCTGCGGGGCTGAGGGGGCGCTGGGGCGGCCGCCGGCGCCGAGGCTCTGGGCTGCGCTTGCTGCAACTCACCGGCGCTCATAATCCCTGGCCATGCAGGGCGGCCGGCGCTCCCCCCCGGATCGCTCCGTTCCCGTTGATAACCCCCCCCCACCCCGCCGCCGGCGGCCCCGGTGGCCCCAGACCAAAAACTCCCGGGGGGCTGCAGCGCGGTGCCCTTATAGGCGCTGCCGTGCGCCCGGTCTCCCCGCCCGCAGCCGGGGCCGGGGCTGGGCGTGCGGCGGCGGCGCGCAGGGAGCAGCCAGTAGCGCGGCTCCGCGATGGGGAAGGAGGCGGAGGGGGGCAAGGCCGGGCCCCAAAAGCGGAGATGGGGGAGGGACCGGCGGGGGGGGGGGGAGCTGCGGGAGGCGCCAGGGATTTGGCTCCCGGCTGCGCGGGGGCAGCATCCCCGAGCCCGACCCCCGGCCCCGGCTGGACCGTGTGTGTGTTCCCCCCCCCCCCAACCTCGGTCTCATCCTGTCCCGCTGGTCTCTCCCCGGTGTCCCGCACCCCCTTTCCCACTGCTCATCCCCGATCCCTTCCGCCCCGAAACCGGCCCCGAAGTTGAGGTCTAGGGAGAGATTAGCATCGCTGCGGTTGCCCCGATGGGAACGCGAAGGGTGAAATTCGCTTAAACTCCTGTTATTTATGTGTAATTTTGCCGCCCGTCTCATAAAAGCCAGGTCTGAGATCGCAGTTAATGAGCTTTGGATAAGGAATTGCCCGAAATTAAACAAACAAACAACACCGGCGTGTTCGCTCGCAGTGCGGGAGGAGTGGGCTGGCAGCGCCGGCACTGATATAATGAATAAAAGTTGATTTTCGCCTTCATTCTTCGGGGGATCTTGAAGGGAAAGCGCATCCGTTTGATGAGAAAAAGCTGCCGGTATTCGTAACGATCCCAACACCCGGGATTTATATGGGGCAAATCCGGCAAATCCTTCTCGTCCACGGTAAAACACGCGATCGGACTCACACGTATAACAAGGGAAATACAGTCAATGGTGAGGGAAAATTTAGAGTCTTTATCAGTCGCTTAGAAGATGTAAATCCCGAGTCTTAAACGGGGTTATTGTTTAGTTTTTTTGCTGGTAAAATGCCCAAAAATCCCCCTTCCGGGCGCAGACGCGAAGTCTTTCCCCACGGCTGCGAGCACCGGGGGTCTGGGTCCCACATCAGGAATTTTGGGGAGAGGGGAGCGTTTGGGAAGTGTCTTTGCCGTTTACGTCTTCGGTAAGAGTTGTAAACGCACATGTAAATCAGTGGAGCTGAATCACGGCAGTTTTCCCGGGCTACCTGCAGCGCCAAATGTTCATCCCTCGTGTGTTCTAAGCAGGGGTGTAATATCAGGGCGCTTTTCACTGTTATATTTCGTTTGGAAACAGGTGGACAGAGAGTTTGGGACAGAGAATCACTTTAAAGCGAGTGTGATAATGAATTGTGACTTTATGCTTCCTCCTTTAATCGTAAGAGGAGGTGTTTGGGACTTTTTGTTTGAATTTATGTGGTGTTTTGTTTATTTAGTTTTTTTTTCTCTTGTTATTTTGTTTCTGCCACTATTGCTGATGCTGAATTTATTTTGCCTCTTTGGGAAAAAGAGCTTCCCGTGTGCATCCGGATAGCCGGAACAGCAGGAGAAAACTTTCCATTATGCTTCACAAGGTGCCTTTTCCCCTCTCGGCTTCCTTTGCCTTCATTATTTAGAATAGAATCAATACAGAGCAGTTCCGCGCCCCTTTAGGAAAAGATCACACTGGAAAATGCTGATTTGAAGTTTGACCGGACAACAGGCATCTAAAGCAAGGAGTTGATGGGGAAATCCCAGCCAGAAAGGGCAGTTAAAGGACTAGAAACAGGTAGATTTATTAACAGCACCCTCCCCCTGTGTTTGAAGAGCTAAATCGAAAGTGTTACTGCGTAAAATCACAACAAATCTGCGTTTATCCGTTTGCTCCAAACCCCCGCGGTCGCTGCAGGAGGGAGAGGAGCAGCCGCTTGTATCGCGGTATGGGTCGGAATTGCGATTTTCAGCGGGGATTTGATGTATTTTAGGCAAAGGCAGAGCCATCTAGAGGAACAGCCCGGCCATAACGATCCTTCGGAGGCGCCGTGCACTGCCTTCGAGCTTCCTTGAGTTCGTTTTTCCACTTCCAACCAAGGAAATGGGTGAGAAAACAGTGCTGAATTAGCTCTAATAGAAACGAGTGCCCTCAGAAAACTCCCGCTTGCTTTACCAAATAATAAGGAACGTGAAGCAAAAATAGCTTTAGAGAGGTTATTGCACATCTGGGATGGCACGGATGTGCAAACCAACCCTTAATTTGAAAAGTGGAGAGAACAAAGCTTTGATGGTATGTCGGCTGTAAAAGTGCTTAATTCTCTTAAAGCATTTATCCTGCAAGCAACGTGCAGCGTTGCCTCGAAACATCAGCAGCTCTCAGTACAAACCTGTTGCTGTTCTCCTCTGCCAAGGTAAGAGGGGAGCAGCATGAAGAGATCCAGTGCTCTGTTCCCCTGCTCTCTAAATGCTGCTTTCTTGCAGAGAGCTCTGGGAGACGTTTTGGTTTCGGAAATGCACTGAGAAGAGAGGTGCTGAGACACAGAACTGAAACTGGTGTCCAGGTAAGGGTTTGGGGCTGCTGTCCATCACTGTGGAGAGGTTCGGGCTTGAGCAATGCAGTGAGGTGAACCTGGGGACATTCATTAGCATTGGCATTAATAGTGTGGCAGTGGGGTCTGTTGTGTAGAGCAGCCCATGGCACCTGGGAATCAGGATTAAACCATATCCTCATCCAGCTGTGATTATGTGTAAACCTCTCTAGCCAGCTGCCTTGGGAAGTGTTTTAAGGTTTCCCAAGGAAAAGTGCTGCAGGAAAACGAGGTCCTCCCCATCCTCTCCTTACACTAGCCACACCATTCCCTTTGGTGGTGGGCTTCTCCTTGTTGGGAATGCAGCAAGTGCTTTTCCCCCTGCTAGGAAGACACTGGCTTTGCCTCTAAGCCCTGCTCCTCTGAACATGTAGGTACAGGCTTTACTTTCCTGTTGTGAATCTCAGGTGTGTACAGCTGAACACGGAAACCTGAAAATGCTTCAGACCTGAGCACCCAGCCTTGCAGCGGGAGCTGATGCCTGCACCCGCTTTGGGCTCTCTCTGTTTCCTGAGGATGCTGAGGAGCAGGGAATGTATTAGGGGACTGGGGCATAATAGTCCATACTGGCTGTTCTTCACTTTACCAGTAGGAAAGAGAGACCAGGATCCCTTCCATGGCTTCGAATTGCTGCAGTGAAGCAGGACCCACCAGGTTTGATTTGTTTTGGCTGCATTGGCAACAAAAGTCTCACTTTTTCCCCATGGCTGGCAAGAGGGAAGGCAGTTACTCTATGGCCCACATACAATCTGCACATGAAGATCTTTTATATCTTTCTCCAGAGTAATCAATGAAATTGGGAATAAGTTCTTCATCCTTGGGGAAGAGATAAGAGAATTATCTTTTCCATTGGGGTGCACCAGTACTGTGGCTCCACTCTCAACAATATCAAGGAATTGACTAAGAACAGCTCAAATCGAATGTAAGCTCTAGTACCACTCCCTTATTGACAGCTAAGCCTATTCCTTCCTAGACTGGGTACTTTATACCTATTACTATGCTCTAAGAAAGTCTCTTTTTTCACTCAACCTCTGATTTGTGAACGGGTATGAGAGAATGTCTGATGGTGTGCAGTAGACATTTCACTGCCATGGATTTGGGAAGGGTGTTCTGCGTACGTGTGTACAGGCTGAAGTAGTTCTTCTCTCTTACCTATGGAGAATAATGTATATCACTCCCTCCCTGTATCTAGTAATCTATTGGACTGAAGTTCTGGCTATCAAATTTTGCCAACTTATCTTATGATAAGATCAGAGGCTTTCAAATCTGTTTTCAGCCCCTACAACATTTCCTGGGGAGCTGTCTTCATTCCATGATTTTCAGGCTGATGACAAAAGGCTTGGTTTGGTTTCTTTTTCCTGGTTTCCATAAAATCACTGCTGGCTGCTGACTGCGAGTGAGCATTTTGGAATAGCAGATATTTTCCTGGTGTGTTTATATGGTGCTGGGCATGATGGAGCCCCTGGAATAAATCAGCAAGGAATAAATCACAGTTTATCACAAGCTGTAGTTACTCCATCACTTTGGGCTGTCACAAGTGAGCGCCATCACTAAAAGAAGCGATTCTGTTCTGTGTCCACTCCTGGCTGCTGTGTCTATGGACTGGGGCATGGATACAGGTTAAGAGGAACACCTTCCCAATCCTTTTCTCCTTTTTCACTCCCTCAGGTTAGTTTTGGCTTGGGCCTGCCCCTCCTTCCTGCATGAGAGCTTGTTGGCCACCGATTAGCTGAAGTTTTGATAAAAGCTTCATTGTTTGGAACCTCTGTAAGCTACCCAGAGCTGTGCTCCTAAGAAAAGTGGGATTAAAGAGACACCTTGGGAGTGAGACAGTTACAATCGGGAATTTCAGAGCCTGTGGGCTGGATTTGGCCAGGCTTCAGTAACTCTGCGTATCAGAGGAGGTTTTACCAACACTGGGAAAGAAGCCTGTCTTTTGGTTTTGAAGGGAGAATAGGAGCCTGGTGGGAGACAGAAGGATGTCAACTGTTTGTGAGTGGATTAAGCACACGTTCCAGGTGTTTGGAAACGTTTGCAGGAGCTCTCAGCATCTCACATTCTTCCTGCCTCTCCTTGGGCTTAAGATCCATAAAAAGTGTTTAAAATTCCCTGCTCTGATCCCACAGATTTAATCCGTCCTCATTTTATGTTTGCAACAGTAAAAAAGTCCACCTGACAGTGAGATGGGGTTGACTTGGTACTACCGGATCGCATCTTGTCTGGGAAGAGTGTTAAGCAAGGGGCCTGATCCCTCCTGCTTAAAGCTAGAAGCTGACCTGAAATAAAGCAACATCTTTGTGCTTTTTACATGGTTTTGATGCATAATGGGATTTTGAAATGGAGCTCAATGCTTTGGGCTGGTTGCCTACTCCTATAAGGTAAGGTCTATAGAATAAGGTAAATAAGGCCAGTGTCTTGTGGTTTTAGCTCATCTGAATAGGCCACCTCTGCCCTGGAATGAGTAATGGAAGTGGCCAAACATATTTATGGTTATCTAAGGCAAAAACAATCAAAACTATGAGCAGATAAAGGCAGGAGCTGCCGTCACCTCCACCACAAGGAAATGGAGGAGCATTAAATTCATATCTCTTTTCCATGTTTGTCTGGGGAGAAAATCAGGTGGTGT